CTGCTGTCACCCACCACCTTGGCAACACAGCCTGTACAAGAGCAGATTCTGGCCAGGCGTGGTGACTCACGCCTATAATCACAGCACTTTGGGAGGCCGCGGCGGGCGGATCACCTGAGGTCAGGAGTTCGAGGCCAGCCTGGCCAACAAGGCAAAACCCAATCTCTACTAAAAATACAAAAATCATCTGGGCATGGTGGCAGGCGCCTGTAATCCCAGCTACTTGGGAGGCTGAGGCAGGAGAATCACTTGAACCCGGGAGGTGGAGGTTGCAGTGAGCCAAGATTGCACAGCCTGGGTAACAGAGTGAGACTCTGTCTCAAAAAAAAAAAAAAAAAAAAAAAAAAAATTGCAGGTTCTAAAGTCAGAGAGACCAAGCTGGAGGCCCTACCACAAGACTTAGATGTGGGGTGACCCTGGGCAATGTACCTAAACTCTCTGAGTATCAGTCTCCTTGTCTTTTAAATGGGTCTAATAATGTTACTTACCCCACAGGAGTAGTTATGGGGATTAAATAATACAATAATGTAAAATATTTAGCTCAAATCCTGGCATTTAATAAGTACTTACTAAATGCTAATCATTTTTATTATAAATTAACTATTGGGTAAGTAAGTCCTTGAAGCTATCTAGGCCTCAATTTCCTCATCCATAAAACAGAATCAGGTGGGGAGGAGGTAGGACAGCCTAATTTTTGAATATCCCTTCCAGCCCCGGCATTTTATGGTTCCAGGTATGTGTTACCGATGAAGGGGTGAAGAGAAAGTGGTATTGTAGAACTCTAAAACATGTTCTTGCTTCAGATTCCTGGATAAAACTCTCCCATGAAGGCAAACTTAGTGGACACAAGTTTCTTATGAATTACATCTAGGGAAGGGAAATTAGCATTCAACCTCTGTGGTTCACTAGCTGACCTTACGAAGCCTCAGTTTCCACATCTATCAAATGGAACCACTTTATGAGGTGGTTGTGAAGATTAAATGAGTTTACTCTCATCCGGTATTAGCACAGTGCCCGGGACCAATGACTGTGTGCTCAGTGCTGGCTGACAATGTCACAGAATCTAGAATAAGCACGTTGACCCTGGAAACCTGTTGAGCCACTCAGCCAGCCCTGCAGGTGGGTGGGGATGCGGGGAGTTAAACCACCAGCACCATCCCCCAGAACAGAGTCCACCAAGGGGGCCTCCGTAAGCCTGGGGCTGCAGGCCGGCAGGAAGGGGGATGGAAGAGCCAATCTTACCAGGCCGAGGTTCAGAGAGTTGTTGTCATCTTCTGGCATGGGCAGGTACACGGCCAAGGCCACACAGTTGGCAAAGATGGTAAGCAAGATGATCGTCTCGAAGGGCCTGGAGCCAGGGTTAAGGAGAGCCCTTGGGCCACAGGGGCATGGGACTTACAGGGTTAAGGGGAAGAGGGTGCTGAGGGTCAGTTTGGACTGTGACTCTGATGCCAGGCAGGTGGACAAGCTGTTGGACACTCACCCACGATGCTCCTTCCCTGAGCACCTGCAGGATACAGTGAGGACCAGGTTCCTGCCTTGACAACTGGCTCCCTTTCCTCAGGAACAAGTCGCTTTCGCATAGACTCCTTGGAATGGTAAAGGTCTGGTCCCTGGCTAAGGGCTACTCAGCTTTAAGGCCTAGGGGGTCTTCACACCGCTCCACTCTCAGTGCCTGTCTACGCCCTTGCCTCCTCCCAGGGAGCCATGACTTTCCCAGATTCTGGCCAATCCACAGAGGCTCACCCAGAGAAATGGCACGGGAGGGTAAGGGTTGATGCGGGGTGAGGTTGAGAACTCACCGAGCAGGACTGGGAATGAGGGATGGAGAGATGAACGATGAATTTCCAGAGCCATGTGTGCATGCTGGTGTGCTCGTGCTCACACCCATCACACCTCGCCCCTCCCAGACACACCCACCCACAGCCATTTCTAGAGGGTACCCCAGGTCCATGGCTTTCTTGACTTTCTGACCCATTAGGCAGCAAGTGTGGAAAGAGCTAGAGAAAGCAAGGGAGGAAGCGAGGCAGTTGTTTGGGGGCGGATGGGGAGGCATATTATGTAGATGGGCTTGACAGAAAAATCCCATTCTCTTCCCAGTAACCTCCAGTGTTTGAGAAAAGAGGAGGGCCACAGGGGCAGGGGGCTACGAGAGGGGAAGGTGCAGAGGAGCAGAGGATGGAGGAGAGGGAGAACCCATGGAGTAAACCTGTTTGCAGAAGAGAGGCAAGGAGGGAGGGCCTAGGAGGGTTTGATGTGGGTGATTCACCGACTGGCCAAGGGCAGGTGAAGGGAACAAGGCTGACACTGACCCCAAGATATCTCTACTTGCCCCACGTTTGTCTTGTCCTTCTAGTTATCCCTCATTCTCCTTCCTTCTAGGGAACAGTTGGTAGGAGCCCAGCCTTCCAGAACCCTTCAGAAATATTTCAAATATGCCCGACCCTCGCTCTCAGAACCCACTTGACACAGCCCTCCCCTTCTCTCTGTCACTCCTTCCTCCCTTCCCCAGATAACCCGGATATTTTCAGCATTCTTCCCCCCAGAGCAAATGCAAACACAGCATGAGATTCGAAGTCTCTGTCCCCAGGGTGGCACGTCTGAGCTAGAACACCCAGGCTTGCTTGGCCTGTGTCTTGGAGCCACTCAGACCAGGTGTCTTTCAGACCCATTTTTTCCCTTGGCTCTGTCCTCAGCTGGGATCTGCCCCCAGAGGGGTCACCCCCCACCCAACCCAAACAAGGGGGAGTTTTCTCAAAGAGGCCATTGAACCTTTTATTGGTTCCTATCCTATTCTGAAATGAGGCTGGTGCTTCAAAAACCTAGTGGCACCCCATGATAATGTGGATTTGGGCACACCTGGGAGCAGTCCCCATGAAGCAGGCCCCACCCATAGGTGGTCAGTAGGCATCTCTGGTTGTCACCCAGGACTTGGGTGGCCTGCTCAGGCCCAGGAAGCCCCACCAAGTCCTCCTCCTCTTCCTCCTCCTCTTCCTGTTCCTCCTCCCCCCTCCTCCTTCTCTCCCTCCTCTTCCTCCTCCTCCTCTCCTGCGCAGCTGAGGGCTCCTTCCCCCAGCCTCACTCAGTTCTGTGAGTTCACCCCAGGTCTAAGTCCCAGGCCTCCCTGGCCCTCCTGTAGGAAGTGTGTGCTCTGTGATCACCCCTGAATCCCTCCCCCATGATGCATGCTCCCCCCCACGGCCTGGGCCCTGAAGGATACTTCCATTCTACGATGCTGATGCAGGCCTTCCTCAGGGGGTTCTCCAGGGTCAGGCAGAACAAGGCCCGGGGTGGCCTTGGCAGAATCTCAGGAACCGGCTTCTTGGGCTGTTTCTTCCTCAGGCCTTCATCCTGGGGTGAGGACGGCTCCATGGCTTCCCTGGGAATCTGGCTCCCCCTCCCCAGTGCCCTCTCTTCCCTGCGTCCCCAATGCCCCCCGCCTTGAGGACTGGGCTGGCTGAGGCTGTCGGCTGAGCCTGCCCTGCTGAGCCAGCCGGGGGGCGGGGGCAGCAGTGGGGGCAGGAGGATTACTCTCCCCACTCCCAGCAAGTAAAATTAGCCTCCACTCGGCTCCCCACTGCCGGGCCTGAGCTCCTGAGGCCAGACAGCTGTCATTCCATCCAGTCCAGCCAGTGGCTTCCCAATCTGTCCCCTGAGGAGGGTGGGGGATGGGGAGAAGAACTTACACACAGGCCTGGGATGGGGCAGGGGCAGTGGGAGAGGGAGACAGGATGGAAGGTTTCAAGCCTGCGGCAACAGAGATCAGGAAGCGGTAGCCTTGGATATGGAACCTCAAACGGCAGAGTGGCCCCCTCATGCCAAAATTAGGTTTCCCCTCCTCAGCCCCATGACATTGTCTGGAGAAGGCACTGGGCAGCCTAAGTCAGGACAGCTCCACAGCACCCTCTACCTAGCTCAGTATTTGCACCATCAGCCAAGACTCCCCAAACATACCCTCAACCCACCCCCCAAGCAATCCCATGTCAGGGAAACAGTAAACCCCTCTCCAGTGGGCTGGAAGACTCCCAGAACATCCCTGAGTGTACACACCTCTGGCATAGCACCTGCCTCACTGTGGAGCATCTGCTGTGTATCTTTCTTCCTCACCTCCTCCCACCCCTACAGGTGTAAAGGTTGTGGGCTTTATCTCTGGGACTCTGGCCCCTTCTCTGCACAGTCCCCACATATACTATGCTCCCTGTAAATGATCACTGAGGCCAGGCGTGGTGGCTCATGCCTGTAATCCCAACACTTTGGGAGGCTGAGGTGGGCAAATGGCTAGAGCTCAGGAGTTCAAGACCAGCCGGTGCAAGTGGTGAAACTCTGTCTCTACAAAAAATACAAAAATTAGCAGGGTGTGGTGGTGTGTGTTTGTAGTCCCAGCTAGTAAGGAGGCCAAGGTGAGAGGATCAGTTGAGTCTGGGAGGTTGAGGCTGCAATGAGCCAAGATCGGGCCACTGTACTCCAGCCTGGGTGACAGAATGAGACAGAGTGAGACTTTGTCTCAAAAAGAAAAGTTCATTGAGGTCAGCCGCGGTGGCGCATGCCTGTAATCCCAGCACTTTGGGAAGCCAAGGTGGGCAGATTACTTGAGGTCAGGAATTCCAGACCAGCATGGCCAACATGGTGAAACCTGAACTCTACTAAAAATACCAAAAATTAGTGGGCGTGGTGGTGTGCACCTGTAATCCCAGCTACTCTGGAGGCCAAGGCAGGAGAATTGCTCAAACCCAGGAGGCAGAGGTTGCAGTGAGCAGGCATAGAATCACTGCACTCCAGCCTGGGCAACAGAGCAAAACCTGTCTCAAAAATAAAAATTAAAAATAAAAATAAAAATTAAAATTAAAAAAAAAAATTCATTGAATGCCTGAGCTAACACTGAACCTTAAATGCGCTAACAGCGAATCCCACATACACTTCCAGCAAGTACTCTGGACTAGGAGTGGGAATGAGAAAGGGGCACCAGGAAGGGTGAGGGTAGACAATGATCTAGGAATGAGAAAAATTCAAAAATCCTTTTATTTAGCTCTTTGGTGCCAACACAGTGCCTATGTACCCATATGCACACCCCCCTCCCCCAAGGCTTACAGTCTGAGGGAAAAAACCACAGTCCCCACCCAACCTGGGACAAAACTAGATGACCTCGTTGGGGGGTGTGAAGGGAGTGATCGCCCCCCACCAAGGAAGCTAGAGAACGCCACCAGGGCACACAGGTCGCCTCTGCTGAGTCTGTGGGTTCGGTCCGGGCTGAGCGCCGGCAGCGGCCTGGCCTCCCATCCCTTCCTCTGGGTTCCTTTCTCAAAGGGCAAGCGTGCTCCCAAAGAAGTCGCTAGTATTTGAAGCCATCTGGTGGAGAGCAGGGGCATGGTAACCGAGGGATCAAAGCCGGGCTTGCCTCCCGGGAACTCGCAGAGACTGGGCTGCGCCTGCGGCGAGGAAGGAAGAAGCAGGAGCGGGCCGAGCGGGAGCCAGACCCAGGGATAATCGTCCTGGAGTGCCCCTCTGCACCCCGGAGGGGACGCAGGACGCCCGGAGCAGTCCCAGGCCCTGCCCCTCGCTGCACCCACGGAGCTCCTCAGGTCTCTATCGCGCGCCTCGCACCCGTTGCCCTGCACTTCCTCCCCAAGTTGACGGAGGAGGAAGGATGTCGCAGACACGGGAGCACCGCGGACCTCCTGCAGTCACCAGCCTGCGGCGCATCGCGGGTGACCCAGCAGCCTCCCGCTGCTCCCGAAAGTGGGACGGGGCCGACGGATCATTCCCCAAGCCAGGGGCTGCCACAAGCCCGATCAATGGCAGGATTCCTCCGATTCCAAGAAAGGCGAGGGGGAGAAGCAGGAGGACTCGGATGACTCCGGTACCAGGGAGGAGGGCGCCCGGGCCTCGCCGTCGCCAGGGCGGTCGGGCCGGGGGGCGGCGGGCGGCGCCGGGCAGGGCCTGGTGCCCGGGAGGCCGCGGGCGGCGGGGGGCGTCGCGCCGTCTGGGGCCGAGCTCAGCAGCTCCTGCAGGTACTTGATGTAGCGGATGGCGGCGCGCAGCGTCTCCACCTTGCTAAGTCGTTTCTCTGCCAGGGCGCCGGGGAGGTGGCCGCGGAGGCGCGCGTAGCCCTCGTTGACGCACTTAACGCGCTGCCGCTCGCGCTCGTTGCGCTTCTGGATGAAGGCTGGCTCGAAGGGGTATTCGTAGACCCCGAAGGCACCGGGGAAGGGCACATAGGGGAACACCCCCGCGTAGGCGTCGTAGTAGGGCTGCTCGGCTGGGCCCGGGTACAGCAGGAAGGGCACGTTGCCTAGGGGCTCGGCGGGAGGCAGGGGCGCCTGCCGGGGAGGGGGCACGACGCCCAGCTGCATGCAGCTGGGGGGCCCCAGGGGCCTCCGGTCCACCAGAGCCCGGCAGAAGTTATTGTTCATGGTGCCACGTGGAGCTGGACCCAGAGTGAGGCCCCCACCGAATGGCCCCTGCTTGGGGTCTACACGGTCTCGACCACTGGGGCAAATCACATCGCTAGCAGCAGCTCCGGGGTACCAGGATTTGCTAGGGCCTCTTTTCGCCCTTTAGGGTGGCTTCCAAGGACTCCCTAACACCAGCCATCGTCCTAGACAAGTGTGGCCCCTCTCAGGGGGTCGGTGCACACCTTCTCAGATCCAGCCCATGGCGCCGCGGAACTCTGAGGGCCCACACCTCGCTCCGCAGCACCCATGGGCACGGCCACAGACCCGCACGCCTTGCCTCTTCCTGCCGCCCAACATGGGCACCTCAGGCCTAAACCCCAGGCTCCATGCCCTCCACCCCCACCCCAGCGCCTGATCCTTGGTCCTCACGGCCTTCGAGATCCCTGATCCCTGGGCAGTCCGGGGTGCCCAAACTGATGGCTGCTGTTAGGAGTGCGCCAGCTCAGTGGAGGGAGTCCCGGGAAACATTTCTAAACAAGAGGAGAGGAGAGTGAACATATCAGTTAGGAAAGGCCTGTATTATGGGCTTATTTGTATCATCTCCACCCGCAAACGGGATTGTAAGCCTCATGAGGAGAGGTGGTTGGCTACTGAAGGGGCACAGATCTGGGTTAAAATCTTGTGCGCATCCCTTCTTACTAGTCGGGTGACCGCTTTGAGTCATGGTTTCCCTAGGAAGGGCAAGGGAAACATCCCTGACAAGAAATTAATAAGCGAATCAACTGTGAAAGTATGTATGCAAAAACACCTCCTAAAGGGCATAGCTTATAGAAATGCCCAATTTTGTCATGTCCCTTGAGAGTGGGGATTAAGTCTCATCACTGATCCCTTCCAGGGCCTTACATCTAGAAGAAGGTCTGAGACTGCCTATTGAATTAGCAGCAGCAGCCATCAGCCAACGAGGGAAGCCAACTCTTTATGGAAAGGAATGCCTCTTTGATAACCAGGTAGGTGTTGTTGGTCCGTTCAAAGCCCTCTGCCTGGCAGAGACAGTCATCAAAGCCTTCCCTGCCCCAGTCCCTATGGTCCGAGATACACCCTCTCACCCCACCCTGGGTTTCTCCGTGGCACCTAATGGGGGCATCTATTCTTTCACCTGTATGTCCTGAGCCTAGCCCAGCCCCTGTCAAGTAATAGATGCTCCACAAATACATGTGGAATAACTGAGAGAGAGGATTAGGCAGAAAGCTGGGTTTGTTAGGGTGGGACTGATTACACGTAGCCTTTCATAGGATTTAGGAAGCTGTTATTTCAGAAATAATTGGTGTGTGTTGAGTTTAGGTGCCACCAAGCTTCATTGAATGTGGTTATCAGATCCAGGTTAGGTGCCATTTTGTCTAGGAAGCCTCTCTGATCGCACGCCCACCTCTTGTGTGTGTCTACAGGGTACCATAAGGTCTATATTAGCACTTATCACGACTCTATTATTTTTTCCCTCTTCGTAAAAGATGCTCAGGACTTAGCAAGTGAGTGAGTGATGGGCAGCGTGACACCTTGGTCACTGGGCACGGCCTCTCCAAGAGACAGAAAGGGGCTAGCTCTCTCCCTGACAGGAGGAGTTCGTGGTAAACTCAGATTCCTGAGAATGTCTCCTTCTGCACCCTCTCACCTCTGTCCTTATTGCAGTCCCTGAGTCTGTTTCCAGCTCGCTTTGTCCTCCACACTAAGTGAGGACCAAGAAAAATCAACAATGATTCTAAGCATCACGGAGACTTAGATGTGTTCTCAAAAGTGAAACCAGGCCAGGCGTGGTGGCTCACACCTGCAATCCCAGCACTTTGGGAGGCTGAGGTGGGAGGATCACTTGAGGACAGGAGTTCGAGACCAGCCTGGCCAACATGATGAAACCCTGTCTCTACTAAAAATAAAAAAAACTAGCCGGGTGGGATGGTGGGCGCCTGTAATCCCTACTACTTGGGAGGCTGAGGCAGAAGAATCGCCTGAACCTGGGAGGTGGAGGTAGCAGTGAGCCAAGACCATGCCACTGCATTCCAGCCTGGACGACAGAGCGAGAGTCTCCTTAAAAAAAAAAAAAAAAAAAAAAAAAGAGTGAAACCAAATGTCTGAGAATTCAGGACAAATTCACATATCCCTCCCCTTCTCAATGGCCTTCAAAGGCTCCCCGTTGCTTTCAAGAGAAGGTTCTAGAAAATGTCTCCCAAACAGACCCTCAGATCTATCAGGTCAGTCTTCTCTGGAACTCTTAGCTCTCCTGATCTCACACTTGGCTTGTGCTGGCTCTGGTCCTGGGGGCCCTCTCTACGCCTCTCTGCTTTACCCAGAGTCCTGCCATCCTTGATTCCAGCTCCTGCCCATTCTGACTGCCTGAGCTCTCTGACTTCCAACATGGGTTGTGCATTATTCTATGTCTTCAACCAGAATGTAAGCAACCGAAGGCAGGGGCTAGGGCTTTTATTTCTCAGGTAACACCTATCAGTCCCTTGCTCAAAATGATTTTCTAGCAGTTCTCTTTTACTGTACAAATTTGGGATCCAGACTGCACTCTCCCATATGACCCCTGTCTATTCATATTTGACTTCATTATTTAAATTTAATTTGATAGGGGTCAGAAGTTTACGACAATTTTAACAAGTACAACTTACTATTTGTTCATGCTGATTTAATATTCATAACTTATTTATTTTCCTCATATACTATTTACATTTTTTCATATAACAATTCAGAAAGGTGATTCAAACAAGAAACCTCACAGTTGGACTGTGTATTTCTTGAGCCAATTCTGTCTTTACTGTTAGAAAAGAATGGATAGGCCAGGCGCGGTGGCTCATACCTGTAATCCCGGCACCTGGTGAGGCCAAGGAGGGAGGATCACTTGAGCCCAGGAGTTTGAGACCAACCTGACAACATGGCAAAACCCTGTCTCTACGAAAAATTAAAAAAGTTAGTGGGGTTTGGTGGCATGTGCCTGTGGTCTCAGCTACTCAGAGGGAGGCTGAGCGGGGAGGATGGCTTGAGCCCAGGAGGCAGATGTTGCAGTGAGCTGAGGCTTCACCACTGCACTCCAGCCTGGGCAACAGAGCAAGACCCTGTCTCAAAAAAAAAAAAAAAAAAAAAAAGGAAAAAGAAACAACTCATAACCTACCTGCCAGGTAGCATAGGGGGGTACACACCTGCAATTGTGTTCTGCGTCTATCACTGAATACGAAGCTGAAGAACACAGTGTAGCATATTACCATTAAGCGGTATGATTTTCATTCAGTAAATATGTACAGAGGGTCCTGGATATCCTGGTACTGCTCTACGTACTAGGATAGAACAGCAAACAAACATTGTAGTGAAATAATAATAATAATGATAATCATAGCTACACTTATTATTCATGATGTGCAAGACACTGTGCTAAGAGCCTGATGTGAATCATCTCATTTAATTCTCATGCCATCCTTGAGAGGTACGTGCTAATATTGTTTGGTTTTACGGGTGAGAAACTTGAGGCACATGAAGGGTAAGTCACTTTTTAAGGACCCACTGTTAGGAATTCATGAACTAATAAAGGCTAACCCACAATCTCAGTTTCCCACCTCTTCCCTCAGTATTTCTACTAGTGGCTTCTCATCTGATCAAATGATCGGAGAGGTTTACACTGACCTAACAAAAGAATCTTAGTAAATTATTCCTGCTGGAGAGGAATTACGATTATAATTATAATTCCTGGAGGGGATATCCCGCTGAAGATTCAAATTATGATGCTGTTATTTAGCTTCTGCTAAGAGAAGAACTAAAGGTCACCCTGGTCACCTTTTGGGTGGGTAACACCCCCTTGAAGATGTGTTTGGCGGGTGGCCCATGGAGTTCTGCTGCTGGGAATACGCAGACTGAAGTATCATCAGATTGAGTCAAGCAGCAGGAGCCCCCTTGCCTGAGCTTAGAAAACCTGAGCAGAGGGCCCAGGAGGATCTATCAGTAGCAAGAGAACCTACTCATCGGCTAAGTTCATGGGACTGGGCAGAACGAGCTATCAATAGCGCCACAGTGTGGTGGTGAGACGCAATGGTGGCCACAGATTGATGAAATTCCCATCCCCACCCCACGGGTGTCAAAGTCATCACTTCCTGTGACAGCTCCCTTTGGGGACTGTGGGTCCCTAGGTCTCCTGGAAAATTCAGGGTAAGAGAAGACCCCCTAGGAAAAGCTATTGAGTTTTCTGTCAACGTCTACTAATTTTCTGCTTGTGTTTGTTAAGCAATTCATATCACTTAAACTTTCACTATGTACACATGTACATAAAACATGTATCAATACAATTAGATGTATTTTGTTGTTTTGAGTTAAAAATAGCAATTGCATCAGCATTAGGCAACTTACTAGATAAAAATGTGGCTCTGAAACAGTGGAAGAGCTTTCCCTCTACTCTTAGCCCCCATGGTGACTGCTGAAAGAGCTAGTTGAATGAACCCGTTGATTGCCTTGAGTAGGCACAGACTATTAGTTGCAGGCAATGCTGTCCCCCTTTTTAAGGGGCCCTGGTTCCTCTCTGGGACAGAAGCCACTCCTTGCTTTCAGCAACCCCGTTCATCACCAGCTGTACTCTAGTTTACTTTGCCCTGGGAAGCAGCCGAGCAGATGTGCTTGGCAGGAAGTAACTGCCGTTCCTCCCAGGAGCTTTCTTCGTGGTGCAAGCTACCTGAGCTCTTATGCCTGCAGTCTGCGCTCAGTTGTACCATGTACAGTTAGTTTGTTTAGGGCCAGCTATCATCAGTTATTGTGGAAAGAACTTTCTAATCCTCAAATCTGACTTGCACCAGAGAGGGTGCATTGCCAGCGGGGGTCTCCCGGCCCTCCTTTGCAATGCCTTGCTGCTTCTAATTGTGTAGCATTAGTTTGCCCCAGCAGTATTAGCCCCTTGTTGTCCCTATTGCCAGAGGATCTCACTGTCCACGCTCCTGGGGATGGCACGTTATCATAACTTGCTGTTAATGGTTTCATACTCATCCCCTGCCCATCTCTCCCAGGCCTCTCCCTGGTGCCCAGTGTTCACCAGGGCCCTGTCTCCCCACCCTCCTCAGTCTTATACTCTGCATGGGCAACAGGCAGCCTGAGGGCCCTCTCCCCAGGGCTCTTCCTGTCACTGCTCCCAACCCAGGCTGTAAACTGTGAGCCCAAGAACTCTGGTCTTATCCTTCTTTGAGACACACAGTACAAGCTCAGTATTTGTTGATTGACACTTGTGGGAAGCCCTGGGGAGGCAAAGGCAGATGTGAACTCTGAAGA